CAAATCTGCAACGAATCGTCACTGCATGTACGCCCTTTTCTTATGTATTTAAGTACAAGGTTTGCTCAAAACACAAAGGCGCAAAAGTCGGAGGTGTAACAGGTGCTATGACCGTTTCCATAGTTCCTGCCAGTCTCGTCTATGCGTACATATTTCAATAACATTTACAACTTGCACATCGACATCTAATCAACATGCCACAGTACATTCACATCCGCCACCTCTGGTACATAATTTAGCTCCTCCGATCATTCATTAACACATAACACTATAATGGGCCGTAAGCTATACATTAGGTTGCTGCGCATTTCCTGTGGACAACCTCACAGAGAAAATATACATAAATTGATATTTAACATGTATTTGGTAACTGCTGTATTCATCTGGAAATATAAATTAACATCTCTATCGAGATACCTCTCGTAAGATGTCATGTAATATGTCATTACAGTTCAAATTTTCCAAACCTAACTCAAGGAGCTAGTGTGTCCCTTGTATTGGTGCAATACTTTCTCTAAGGTACAGATTTTAGTGAATATTACAAACACGATGATCTTAGCTTGGTGCATCTTCCTACAACAGGACAGATCCAGCACCACTGTCGCTGAAATCAACTGCCAATCTCAAAACCGTTCTAGCAAACTGGTCATTAGATTGGCTTTAGTTTTCTCAAAAACATTTCTATTCAAAACAAGCTTCACTCTTCTACACAACATATTAGCTAGAGGTGTACTATATTTTGGAATTGTGACAACATTGACGATAGTAACCAGCCATGCTCAAATTTCTCAAATTATGTTTTCGAAAGTGGAGATTTTTAAACATCTTCCACCTTTGCTTGAATGGCCCTTTTACAATTCATCACATAGTCACATGACACTTCTTACTAATCTAATACATTTCAACACCATGGAAACTTGATAGCCACCTACCCACTTGCCGCAAGCCCGTGGACACCATGGATCTGCAGGAGACAGAAGACTACACTGCAGATTGCCAGCTTCATCGCTGTGTTTCACCGCTCACGTCTTGTACGACATCAACGGTTACATGTCCAGTACTGTTTACAGCACGAATGCTGGATGACTGAAACGTGCGGTGGTTGTGTGAGCAATAAATCATGCATGGAGTTAAAAAAGAAAAGACTCTGGCAAATTGCCTCGGGACGTTATTGAGAACACCGACCAATGGTTTGTCTCGACCTGGTAGTCTCTGAATACTGCTGTCGGCAGAGTAAAACACCACACAAAGAATTTAGATGGTTATGAAGAAATGTGAAAATAGGATACACTATTGTTGTCAATCTAGTCGAGCTTACCCACCCGAGCGAGGGGGCGGGGATGAGTGCGTGTGTGGGTGGGTGGGGGTGGGGGTTTTGTGGTAGAGATACGCTCTTATGGCACATCAGGAACCAACGTCATATTGGTTCGGATTCCAGCTCAGACTTTGTTTCTAGGTGTGTCAGCTTTCAGAGCGGTGATAAACCCAACACCATTCACCCATGTTGTATGTGATAGCTTTCTCTCATGGATGCTGAAACAACAGACAAAGCAAGATTCACTCATTCTCTCTCTCTCTCTCTCTCTCTCTCTCTCTCTCTCTCTCTCTCTCTCTCTCTCTCTCTCTCTCTCTCTCTCTCTCTCTCTCTCTCTCTCTCTCTGTCACACACACACACACACACACACACACACACACACACACACTGAATGTGCAGAGACGTGTCTCATCGTAGTCAAATACTAAAATATGTCTTTCTATGACCAGCCATTGGTAGGTTGGTCATGGCGGGTCTTTCATTACGGTTGGTGCATGGCTGAAGTATGTAAGGTATATTTTCAACGTGCGATACACTGTGACCGTGAGACAAAGTATGAGGTGTGAGCATGAGGCGGTGGGAATGAGACAAAGTATGAGATGTGAGAATGAGGCGGTGAGAGTGAAACAAAGCATGAGGTGTAAGAGTGAGGCGGTGAGAGTGAGACAAAGTATGAGGTGTGAGAATGAGGCGGTGAGAGTGAGACAAAGTATGAGGTGTAAACGTGAGTTGGTGAGAGTGAGACAAAGTATGAGGTGTGAGCGTGAGGCGGTGAGAGTGAGACAAAGTATGAGGTGTGAGAATGAGGTGGTGAGAGTGAGACAAAGTATGAGGTGTGAGCATGAGGTGGTGAGAGTGAGACAAAGTATGAGGTGTGAGAATGAGGTGGTGAGAGTGAGACAAAGTATGAGGTGTGAGAATGAGGCTGGTGAGAGTGAGACAAAGTATGAGGTGTAAGCGTGAGGCGGTGAGAGTGAGACAAAGTATGAGGTTTAAGCGTGAGGAGGTGAGAGTGAGACAAAGTATGAGGTGTAAGCATAAGGTGGTGAGAGTGAGACAAAGTATGAGGTGTGAGAATGGGGCGATGAGAGTGAGACAAAGTATGAGGTGTAAGCGTGAGGAGGTAAGAGTGAGACAAAGTATGAGGTGTAAGCATGAGGTGGTGAGAGTGAGACAAAGTATGAGGTGTAAGCGTGAGGAGGTGAGATTGAGACAAAGTATGAGGTGTAAGCGTGAGGACGGTGAGAGTGAGACAAAGTATGAGGTGTGAGCGTGAGGTGGTGAGAGTGAGACAAAGTATGAGGTGTAAGCGTGAGGCGGTGAGAGTGAGACAAAGTATGAGGTGTAAGCGTGAGGAGGTGAGAGTGAGACAAAGTATGAGGTGTAAGCATGAGGTGGTGAGAGTGAGACAAAGTATGAGGTGTGAGCGTGAGGAGGTGAGAGTGAGACAAAGTATGAGGTGTGAGTATGAGGCTGGTGAGAGTGAGACAAAGTATGAGGTGTGAGTATGAGGTGGTGAGAGTGAGACAAAGTATGAGGTGTAAGCGTGAGGAGGTGAGTGGTGAGACAAAGTATGAGGTGTGAGCATGAGGTGGTGAGAGTGAGACAAAGTATGAGGTGTGAGTATGAGGTGGTGAGAGTGAGACAAAGTATGAGGTGTGAGCGTGAGGTGGTGAGAGTGAGACAAAGTATGAGGTGTAAGCGTGAGGAGGTGAGATTGAGACAAAGTATGAGGTGTGAGTATGAGGTGGTGAGAGTGAGACAAAGTATGAGGTGTGAGCGTGAGGAGGTGAGAGTGAGACAAAGTATGAGGTGTGAGTATGAGCTGGTGAGAGTGAGACAAAGTATGAGGTGTGAGTATGAGGTGGTGAGAGTGAGACAAAGTATGAGGTGTAAGCGTGAGGCGGTGAGAGTGAGACAAAGTATGAGGTGTAAGCGTGAGGAGGTAAGAGTGAGACAATGTATGAGAGTGAGGTGGATAGATTGATACAAAGTATGAGGTGTGAGCATGAGGCGGTTAGATTGAGACAAAGTATGAGGTATGAGAGTGAGGCGGTGAGAGTGAGACAAAGTATGAGGTATGAGAGTGAGGCAGTGAGAGTGAGACAAAACATGAGGTGTAAGCATGAGGTGGTGAGAGTGAGACAAAGTATGAGGTGTGAGAGTGAGGCGGTGAGAGTGAAACAAGGTATGAGGTGTGAACATGAGGTGGTGAGAGTGAGACAAAGTATGAGGTGTGAGCATGAGGCGGTGAGAGTGAGACAAAGTATGAGGTATGAGAGTGAGGCGGTGAGAGTGAGACAAAGTATGAGGTGTGAGAGTGAGGTGGTGAGAGTGAGACAAAGTATGAGGTGTAAGCGTGAGGCGGTGAGAGTGAGACAAAGTATGAGGTGTAAGCGTGAGGTGGTGAGAGTGAGACAAAGTATGAGATGTGAGATTGAGTCGGTGAGAGTGAGACAAAGTATGAGGTTTGTGAGTACGGTGGTTAGAGCGAGGCAACAAACAACACAGACATGTTATAAATTAAGAAATGTATTCCAAAATAAACTAAATTTACAAATCAATACACAGAATTGACAACATGGACATGCCTGTGCGTTACTACTTAAAATCTCGAATTGCTTCAGACAATATATTTAGCACTGATCCGTCAACCATGGATAGTTTCTCCAATCGTAACCATTTGTACCGAAAATATTGTAACCTTGATCGAAATGTTTTGTCACTCATAATGCTCATGTATGGATTTGTATATACAGCCTTCAAGCTGTAACGACGACGATTGTTAGCATAAAAGATAAACATGGCAAGATTTCTTAAAACAAGAGGAATAGCATTACTCATCAGTCGATTAAATTTACACAAGGCTGGTTAGGGGTACATAGTTTAACACTGAGTTAGTATTTACAAGCTAGGGTATGCACTGTTTCAATGGATGAATTACAATCACAGTCTAGACCCCATACTTCGCTACCATAAAGCAAAATAGGCATTACTTTAGTGTCAAAAGTTCTGAAGAAGACATCACATTTGATGTGCTCGAATTTTGATAAACTTTTCAAAATACCGAACAAAGCCTTTTTAGATTGCAAAATAGAGCTCTCAAAATGTTTATGCCATGACAATGTTTGTGAAAATACTATTCCCAAATATCTATATGAAGAAACGCACTCAATTAATTTACCTCCTAGATACCATTTTTCGTGCTTAGTAAGGATGCTACCATTTCTAAACACAACAATTTTGGATTTATCTAAGTTGACATATAGCTTGTATTTCTTGCAAGGATTTAAACATGAGACAAGCATGGTTGTACCACAAGCCTCCTGTATCCATGTTGATGACGGATATCTGATCATTTATAAACCTGACGCTTATATTAAATTTATTTCCTTTGGCAAATCATCCCTACTGACCTTCGAACCTTTCCGTGAAGTCTGCAAGTCGTGAGTGACTTGGGGCGCATGCCTCTTACGGGATTTATGTGCATAGGAGATGAAGACCATATATTACATCCGATAAGTAAACTACATCAATGCCCTTTCGCATCATATCAGTAGTATCGTTCAGTGGACCTGCTGAATCAGCAGATTCTCACCATCAATCTACGTATTGTGCGTATGTATTGTAGTGTGAGCATTGACGACCGAGGACTACTGTCTTAGTATGGAAGCAAATAAATGTGTCTAATGAGGAACTATGTATTCACGATTTACACTTTCCCGTATCAACTGGAATCACGAGCCGACATCCACAGTCTGTGAGTAGTAAGCAGTGTATCCACACGCATCAATGGCTGTTATGGAGACATAAACGTCAGTGACAGTTTGAGGGTGCGAGGACAGGTTGAGGACCATCTGTTCCTGACGGGTCAGCAGCCCGTCCACTATATCTGCCCCACCCTCCACCCTGCCCACCATCACCTCATACACCAGCTGGCCCCAGGGGGAGGTGAACAGGCCCGGCCAGGACAGAGTCGTCATCCTGTCGGACGTCCTGGACGAAATCATCGCAGCTTCTGAAATGGTATGAATTTCACATTAATTATATGGTTGTCACCAGAAAACGGGTAAGACACAGTGTTCAAATGTGAAGCATTCAAATATACATTTATTACTGGTACATACTGCATCCTGTTTGACAATCTTTGACACAAAACTTACTGTTCAGACTTGGTTGAGGTCCATGCATGGTGATGGATGTTTCTGACGGGTTCCCAGCCTTGTCCAGCACATGCATGGCGCTGATGTTGTAGGTCGTCAGGTCGCTGAGCTTCAGGCTACACAGCTGGGCGGATGTGTATGTGAATATACTGGGGACGCTCTGCTGGTACAGCAAACTGCTTCCCTCGATACGAACCTATATTTTTTATCAACAATCAAACAGGTATGAATGTAAGATATACGTGTATGGATGGAAGTTTCCAGAACTACAAGCGCCAGCTTCATTAGTTGTATATATTAAAAGGACAAGTGTTTATGTAGTAGAAGTCAGCTGGAGGATACCTACCAGGGTGGTGTGAGGGGTCTCGGTTTCTCCTCCCTCCCACTGAAGTCTCACAGTGTCTCGGGGTACGTGACACTGGTCTCTGTCTGAGAACACAGACGGACTCTCCTCCAGGACCTTGAAGCCAGCAACAGATGCCATGTCCTCACCGGACACGAGAACCACGCCATTAGATGAAGACTCGGAGACCTGCCCGACCTTGTTATAGCAACGTACTGTCGTGTACACCTTCACACTGGATGAGATCACCAGATCAGTCAGATTCCACCTGATATATCGTACTCCATGGTTAGTTCTAGCAAACCGACGGTCATCGTCATCTCCTGGGGTGTGTCCTGCAGAGGAAAGGACAGTTATTCACACAGAAGATGGATACAGTACCCTTAGGACACACAAAGAAATGATAAAACAAACACAAGGCACCCAGTTTCTAAATACTTGTATGATTTCAATGATAAATATATTTATAACTTGGGATTAGTTTTGATGTTAACAACACACACATAGTATTACCTACCGCTGTCTCACTGTTCCCTACCTATAGCGACGTCACAGCTGATGGAATCTGACTCTTCATCTTCCACAGCCCAGTTGGCTGCCATGTCCCCTGGTGATAGGAAATCTGTATCCACACCTAGCAACAGATCATTAAGCCTGTATCATCATCATATAGCAATGGTGGCAAGATCATACTAATGTGGTGTTGACCAAATCATTATATCGCATTATATCACTACTGCATAATGCCAAGCTGAGATATAATTGTGTTTGGGGACAGCAACCACTGCCATTGTCAGAAACGTATTATCTGTATATATTTCTTATGCTTTATATTTAATGGAACTGGTTCGATGTTTCTGCTGGAGGACTGAAGTCCCCGAGTTTCATCACAACTCAGTAGCATTAATCTATGTCAACTTGAAAGGACACTTTTGGTCAGAGTCCTTAATATCAATGTGTTGTAAGAAACGTTTTACTTGTTAACAGCGGAATCTCTGGCAGGGGTACTGCTGTGTGATGTCGGACTATTTGAGGAGAGTCAACTCTGGGTATTCTTTGCACAGACGTTGTATATTTACCTGAACCATCGTTGACTTCTTGTATAGTTGGTGGTGTCATGTCCACCGTCAGGGGGTCTGCTCTGGTCAGTGATGTCAGGCCGGCAGCGTTAGTGGCGAGTACCGACACATACAGTCTGGAGTTGTGCGTCAGCTTCTTGGCAGAAAGTGTTCCTTGAGGGTTTCTACCAACGTTCGTAAAGCCTTGTAACTGTGTACCGCCTTCCACAAGACCTGCATGAAGAAGTGATTTCAACACGTAGTCTCTTAGAGCTGCTTGGTCTATAGTTTTGGTTCCGTATCAAGTTAAAGTCTAATATATTATAAAATTTAAATCATTTTGTTTTTAAATTCATTGCCATATCTCACCTAAAACACGTTAGACCATTCGATAATCATTTTCTGTGTTCTACTGAATATCTGCGGTTTTAAAGTCACCAGAAAGAAGCTCGCTTGAAACCACCCACGATTTACATTCGTAATGTGAGTCCATTCAGCGCTGATGGGTTCGAAATAGACAATAGCCTGAAATGATACTTGCCTTATAACAATACGGGCGTCCAGAGCTTTCACGCGAGTTACATTTATCACCTGCATCGTGGTTTTCTCTCTCAGACAACGCGGATCCGCCGCGGTGTAAACCGTCAAAGTCAGTCGCTATCAATAGTATCCCAACTCTCGCCTAGTATACCGACAACCAGCTGGTAACATTGCAATCGGGACCCTGAATATCCACTTGTGCAGAAAAAGAGACTCACCTACTGCCCACTGGAACATGATGATGGGAGACTCACCTACTGCCCACTGGTACATGGTGATGGGGGACTCACCTACTGCCCACTGACACATGGTGATGGGGGACTCACCTACTATGCCCACTGGAACATGCGCCCACTGGTACATGGTGATGGGGACTCACCTACTGCCCACTGGCACATGGTGATGGGGGACTCACCTACTGCCCACTGGTACATGGTGATGGGGGACTCACCTACTGCCCACTGGTACATGGTGATGGGGACTCACCTACTGCCCACTGGTACATGGTGATGGGGGACTCACCTACTGCCCACTGGTACATGCTGATGGGGACTCACCTACTGCCCACTGGTACTGCCCACTGGAACATGGTGATGGGGACTCACCTACTGCCCACTGGTACATGGTGATGGGGGAACATGGTGAATGCCAGGACACATGCAGGGACGACCAGTGAGGCAGGAACACGGCGTTCACATCCACGTGCTTCTCTGTGTCTACAGTGCCGTCATGTCCACTATAGGTGATGCTCTGAAGTGTCACGTGATCAACCGCCATCACCATGGATCTTGACTTTGTGTTAATAGTAAGTTGAGCTGATTCCTCCCGAGCTATGAAGGAAATTGTGTGTGTATTCCACATGATAACAGAATGTCTACCCACATCACACACCCCTCGGCACAGATTGGGCTCAAGACTGAATGTGATGACTTCAGCGCCAACTGACACGAAGCCTTCTATAGCGCTATGATGTGTGTCCGTGACCTCTGTATATCCTGCATGAATCTTCACTTTGTACATCTGTCCACACTGAGATGTATACCTGCCTGGAGAACAGATCCGCTGACTACAACATAGCTGCTACCATGTCTGGCTAATTGACGCTCGGATGTAATGATGTGTATACACGAATAGTTGTCAGTCTGCCAGTACTCGGGAAGACGGTCATTACATGTCGATGAATTCTCAAGTTCATGTTGTATCTCAAACGAGGGATTTTTCACCAGGTTGTCTCCCAAGTATGCAACGGCCTGTGGTTCTGGGGGAGACGTGTCCACGACAACACCATCCGATACAGATACCCACTGTATCTATAGCATACACCTTGCTCCATAAACGTGTACCTAGAAACAAGGGAATATCAACATCAAGAGAATCCTAAAGGTTCGTTTTGTAATCAGTTGGGTGCCATCAAGAACCTTAAAAGCGGCAACCTACATCATCCCACCTCTGTTGACAGACAGAATGTTTAGATTCACCATTTAGTCCAGGAGGAGGCAGCCTCCCCAGTACTGATTTTGCAAACCAAATGTGGCGAAAATGCTCGCAGACCCCCACCACATATAAAGGCCTGTAAAAACTGATACCACAATCTGAGAGTATTACAGGCCATTTCATGAGCCCAAGACATCATACTAACTGAAAATAGTGTCAAACAAAATCAGTACTGGGGAGGCTACGAAATTCTATTTCTAGGCCTCTTTTAGATTCTCCTCCTGGACTAATTGGACAATGTATATTTTAACACATGCTTCTGACAATTACTTTTGACACATTTTGTAATTGACCGGAAGTACGAGAAGAAGGATAAGACACAACCACCAGCTTCCATGGGTCATCATCATAAAGAATCAATACTGACAGAAGAGGCGTGTTGACATCTAGGTCAGATGAACTGATCTGGACACATACCACTCTGGAGAATCTATACTGACAGAACAGGCGTGTTGACATTTAGGTCAGATAAACTGATCTGGACACATACCACTCTGGAGGGGTGAAGCAAGTTGTGGCTTGGAGGTGATCATGTTTGTGAATTTTGTCTTTGTCTTACACCACACACCAAGCAATATTCCAGATACGTGGCTGGGCCGGAAAATTCCGGTCCATTTTCGACGTCATCGTACTCGTCTCTTTTAGACGTGCTCTACTGGAGAAAGGTCGGGACTCGTCCCTGGCCATTGCATTTTGGTGATCTTGACTCTTGTGAGGCAGATTGTTAGGATGAGTGGACGGTGGATATGAGTCTTATGTGAAGTTTTACAAGTCACAGAATAACAGAAAAAATATATTATAGTACTGATTTCATTATAACTGATATAAAGATCATATAATTAAAGTAGTGTAAGAAACGTAGAGTACAGTTCACTACTATATTATTATCTATAGAACATTATTAGAGTTTCCAAAGACTCCCAGTTTTGTAAGTCAAGCTAAAACCCCAGTATGGTGTTTTGTTTGTTTTAATAGACAAAACGTAGACTAGCATACGGTATAACATTATGCGGTGTAATCTTTGGTGCCAGTAAGTTATAGGGGTAGTACAGCAGTTTTGACTGTGATAGCGATCCACCCCTATATCATTATAGACAACAAAATGGCAAAAACATTGCATGAGATCATCGGATATTCACAAAGTTTCTGCGTTCTTAAACATGTACATATTTGTTGACGGTGACACGACACATCTATTGCTCTACTGCGCAAACACTGTGAAAGGACCCACGGAGCGAACCCCCAGCTTCGTTGTCACAACACAACCTCGTGCAGTGAAGTAATTTACATTATTAAGCAGTAAACCTCAACGCTCTCTTCACCCGAGTGAACTGGGGTCTCAAAATATAACACGCATAAGAAATTGATCTAAATCATAAACTTGTTCTTGAAGTTGTGCTCTCAGCCCGTCCTTTAAATGTAAAGAACATTGTCATAACATATGATCAATATTATTGCTTTAATTTGTAAACAATAATGAAATGTTACAATGTGCTTATAGAGTAATTGTGTGAGTAAACATTTTGAGTCACATCGTCAATATTTGAAACATATCGTGACGACAGAAAGTCATACATTAGTAATGAGTAGATTCATACTTCATTAAAAACTGCAACTGGAAGAGAGTATAACAACTAGAATATCACAGATTAAACATCAAACTAGTTTATAGACCATGTCAAAATACAAGAATATTACTCCACAATGCAATATATAATATTTTTGCTTCCTTAACGGTTTCCCCAGTCGGGTTGACACCATCCCTCCAGCTACTGCGAAAGCAGTACCCTTGTTTATGTACTGTGACTTGCGATACCCACATTACTCATTATACATTACAAATACACTTGCTTTCGGAGCGGGCTTTCATACACTCGTTTAAATTAACCTGTGTCCTCTCAAGCTTCGGCAAATCTTGTTCAGTATAGGACATTTCTCAATAATGATAAATCAATTACAACATATTCATCACACTACCACATGCAGTAATGAATAGTACAGAATACCTGTGCATAATATGCATAATGTTCATAAAGTACATATTGATTAAATTATTTAACATAATTGACAATCGGCTACCATGTCATATGTGTCCTGGTATCTGTAACCATATCACACTTGTCTGCTGACATGGAACACGTGTCAGGGTATCTCATGACGTGCCACATATGCCTGGGTATCCCCTCACATGTAACACGTGTCTGGGAACCTCCTCACATTAAAACGTGTCTGGGTATCTGCTGACATGTAACACGTGTCAGGGTATCTCCTCACATGTAACACGTGTCTGGGTATCTGCTGACATGTAACACGTGTATTGGTATCTCCTCACATGTAACACGCGTCTGGGAATCTGCTGACATGTAACACGTGTCTGGTATCTCCTCACATTAAAACATGTAAGGGTATCTCCTCACATGTAACACGCGTCTGGGTATCTGCTGACATGTAACACGTGTCTGGTATCTCCTCACATGTAACACGTGTCTGGGTATCTCCTCACATGTAACACGTGTCTGGTATCTCCTCACATTAAAACATGTAAGGGTATCTCCTCACATGTAACACGCGTCTGGGTATCTGCTGACATGTAACATGTGTCTGGTATCTGCTGACATGTAACACGTGTCTGGGTATCTGCTGACATGTAACACGTGTCTGGGTATCTCCTCACATGTAACACGCGTCTGGGTATCTGCTGACATGTAACACGTGTCTGGGTATCTCCTCACATGTAACACGTGTCTGGGTATCTCCTCACATGTAACACGCGTCTGGGTATCTGCTGACATGTAACACGTGTCTGGTATTTCCTCATAGTAAAAAGTGTCTGGGTATCTGCTGACATGTAACACGTGTCCGGGTATCTCCTCACATGTAACACGTGTCTGGGTATCTGCTGACATGTAACACGTGTCTGGGTATCTCCTCACATGTAACACGCGTCTGGGTATCTGCTGACATGTAACACGTGTCTGGGTATCTCCTCACATGTAACACGTGTCTGGTATCTCCTCACATGTAACACGTGTAAGGGTATCTCCTCACATGTAACACGTGTCCGGGTATCTCCTCACATGCAACACGTGTCCGGGTATCTGCTGGCATGTAACACGTGTCCGGGTGTCTGTTGACGTGTACATGTGCCGGGGCATTTGTTGACACAAGACGGAGATGTGTCACATAATTTGCTATCGTCGCAAGTTCCACCACATGATTGCAAGCAGCAGGATTACGACATGGTTTTGATCCGTGACCGTATTTCTGTCAACTGTAACATTTCAAAGGGTTAGAGATGAAAGCATCCACCCCTCAGGTTACAATAGACAGCTTTAAGTGATTCTGGACGAGCTGGTAGACCGAATTTAAACAAAGAAGCGTTGGTATTTAAAACGTCATTATTTCTCTCATATGTAAAACGTTTCACATCAGCGACACCTTGTGATGTCAATTCTGACAGTCATGTACGAGAGGCAAAGTCTCTGTACTTCACTGAGAAAGGGTAAGTCGCGATGGCTGAACGGGTCAGGCGGCTGACTTTGTGGGCTGGCGGTTAGGTGCCTGACTCTGAGGGTATGCGTTCAAATCCCCGATGGGGCGACAAAAGTACTCAAATCTGTACTTTGCTGTGAAAGCGCAACCCCAAATACAACGTATGTTAGAATTGTTTATTGTATGTGGTATTTTCTACATTCAATCAATAGGCAGCAGGATCGGAACTTTTTCACTTCTTTCATTTCCCCAACTACACCTTCAATACCCCGTGCTATGGCAAAATGATTCAGCTTGTTGGGATTACCAGTTGAGTTGAGTTGGGCTTTACGACACATCGGCATTATTCCAGCCATATAGTGACGAGAACGAGTCTGCATTAATACACATTGTAAGTACAAAGTCAAAATTAGTTTTATTTCAAAAACATATATTCATTTCATTGTCATTTAAAAGCAGAGAATGTCATAGCGCTAAATAATTTAAAAGCAGGCAATTCGTTAGTCTTATTACTCAGTTACAATTTATGAAATAGATCAACTTCCCTCAGGTAGTTCACTATGAGATGAGCGCTCACGTGGGAGAACAGATCTTTCAGATTTGTTGCATGATAGTGTGAGCCCTTGCAGAGGATAAGTCCACACAGTCAAGCAGAATATGCTTGATGGTGAAAACTTCAGCGCAGAGACACATATGTGGGGTCCATCCCCATCCGTTTTCAGCAGATAGTCACGTGTAAACCGACTGTGGCCAATACGACATCGTCGTAAAATTACCTGATCACGTCTTGACTGACAACCCAAGTAGGTATAACCAATTGTTGTTTTCAATTCATGAAGTTTGTTTCTTCCTATTTGAGTGTCCCACCTTTTTTGCATGAGGTCCCGAGTATAGCTTTTGATAGTGGGTTTGAAATCACTGTACGGGATTAGCAGTGGAGATAAGGGCTTGTTAAGAGCTGCTTTAGCTGCAGCGTCGGCTTTTTGTGTTGCCTGCTATGCCAACGTGACCCGGCAACCAGCAGAGGACGATGTCACATTGGCCAGTAGAAAGGTCGTTGTAAAGTTCTAAAATGGCCAGGATGAAGGGGTGAGTTGAAGTAAGATTTTGAAGTGCTTGTAGGCAAGATAATGAATCTGTAAAAACGATGAAGTTTTGGGAGTGATTCTGCTGTTGAATGTAGGTCAAAGCTGAGAACTGTTGTCGGGGATCCTAGAGGAGACAGTCTTGGATCCAATGACTGTAGCGCTGGCTGGCCATCGTCCTTGCATCCGTCTGTAAAAATGGATCTATGGGTGTTATACTTAGAACGTAACTGGTTGTA